GTAACCTAAAGCCTACCCTGGCTTAGGACATGTGTGAGTCAAGGTGCTCCAGAGAAACAGAACCAATAGGGTGCGTATCTGTGTGTGTGTGTGTGTGTGTGTGTGAGAGAGAGAGAGAGAGAGAGAGAGAGAGAAAGAGAGAGAGAGAGAGAGATTTATGTCACATAATTGACTCACCCAATTTTGGGGGCTGTGGAAATTCCAACAAGAGTGGACTTCGCAGTCTTAAGTTCAAAAGCAATCTGGAGGCAAAATCTCTTTCTCTTTGTGGTATCTCTGTCTTTCCTCTTAAGGTTTCACTTGATTGAATGAGGCCTACCAAGTTATGGGGATTAAGATACTTCATTCAAAGTCTACTGATTTAAATGTTAATCACATCTAAAAAAATACCTTCACAGCAACATCTAGACCCGTGTTTGATCAAACAATTAAGCACCACAGCCATGTTGACACAGGAAATTAACCAGCACAGGCCAGTTCTGGCTTTTGGAGTGACCCCATGCTGTTCCGCCAGCTCTCTGAAAGTTCTGGCTTTTGGAGTAACCCCACACTGTTTGACCCGCTCTAAGTTCAGGCTTCTGGGGTGACCTCATACTATTCCACCCGTTATCTCACAGAAAGTTCCCGCTTCTGGAGTGACTTCATACTGTTCTGCCTGCTCTCTCATGGGGAAGTTCTGGCTTCTGGAGTGACCCCACATTGTTTTGCCCACTCTCTCACAAGGAAGTTCTGGTTTCTGGAGTGACCCCATGCTGCTCTGCTTGCTCTCTCACAGGAAGTTCCGGCTTCTGGAGTGACCCAATGCTATTCCACCTGCTCTCTCACAGGAAGTTCCGGCTTCTCGAGTGACCCCACGCTGTTCTGCTCACTCTCTCACGGTATGTTGCAGCTTCTGGAATAACCCCACGCTGTTCCACGCGCTTTCTCATGTGGCAGTCAGGAGTTCAAGGCCAGCCTGGCCAATATGGTGAAATCTCATCTCTAGTAAAAATACAAAATTTAGCTGGCACATACCTGTAGTCCTAGCTACTCAGAATTGCTTGAACCAGAGAGGCAGAGGTTGCAGTGAGCCAAGATCATGCCACTGCACTGCAGCCTGGGAGACTGAGTGAGACTCTGTCTCCAAAAAGGAAAAAAAAAAAAAAGAGGCTTGCAATAAAGTCTGATAAGTACTGGTCAGCTCGTGGATGATATAGAACCAGTGAGACAGTGTAACATAGTGGTTAGGAATTTGGCCTCTGGGCTTTCATCCCGTGCAAGTCACTGACTAGCTGTGACTTCAGGCAAATTGCTTAACCTCTCTGTGCCTGGGTTTTTCCCATCTGGTGAGTGAGGATAGTAAGAGCAGCTCTGGCATAAGCACAGCTGTGAAGATTAATAATAAAGTGCTTGGAGTCGTGTTTGGCACCACATACCCGCTCAGTAATCGTTAACTATTAGCAAATTCTCACCCTGTGCACAAATCTGAAAGATGCAAATCCTAAAACATTTTAAACCTTAATCAATAAACTCATCATTCTGCACTGGCATCCAAATGGATTGCAAACGGTGTTTGTCACAATTGCCACATGGTGGCGTGCCTGCTGGTGGCTCTGGGGAAATTGAATTATGTCAGTTCTGAATGGTGCCAGGCCTTCAGGAGGCTGGTCACCATACAATGTGCTAGTTGTCCTGCAGTAAAGCCCAGGGACTGCTTCAGCGGGAAGGCACACAGAGAAAGAGGGCCAGGCTTGGCAGAAGGGGGTTGGGGTCAGAGGACTGGCAGGGGCAGAGGACAGAATTCTATGCAAAGCTGGCCGAGGGAAAGGAGCAAGACTCCCCTGCTAGGGAGGGGCGGAAGCCATCTGAGAAAGTCTCTCTCTTGCCCTGAGTCCCATGGCCTTTTCTCTGCTAGTTTATGGACCCACCTGCTCCATTCTCCCAGCTTCTTTGCCCCATCATCACCTGGGCTGACCATGGCACTGACTCCATGAAGCTGTTGAGCTCCCCCTGCTCACTGCAGACCTTCCCAGTTTGGGTCTCACTTCAGTGCTCAGAAGAGACCCTGGTAGGTTCAGGCTGGACCAGAGATTATCCCTCGGGGGTCAGTGGCCATGCCAGCTTCAATTAATTGGTTGTCAGAGGGGGAGGGAGGATGAAAGATATCTAAGCATGGCCACTTAGGCCCATCCGGTCTTTAGGTGATTGGAGAGGTCACCATTGATATGTCTGGATCAGAAGGTTTCATGGAGGAGTGACATTCACTCAGGATCTGAAACACCCCAGGGAGGAGTATTCCAGGCAGAGACACTCCAGGCACACACAGAGGCAGGGAGTGGTGCAAGAGCACCACTTAAGGAAACGTTCTTGGGATGCCTGGGAGGGTGGGACTGTCAGGTTCCTGAAGATGCGGGCAAGGCTCTCAGGGGCACAGGCCTTGGGAGAAGCTCGGATGCCTGTGAGAAACTTGAGTCTTTTTCCTGGAGTCAGAAGACCCTTACTGACAGGTGTCAAGCAAGGAAGAGACAGGATCAGATTGGCATTTTAGTAAGGTCTGTCTCTAGCAGTGTGGATGGCGTGTTGGAGGGGCTGAGTTCTGAGGTGGAGCTCCAGTTAGAAGACTTCTTAAGTCATACAGGTGAGAAGGGAGAGATGGGGCTGGAGTGGCTGGGGTGGCATCTTGGTTCCGGGAGCTTCCAGCTGTGTGACCTTGAGCACGTTTCTTACCCTTTCTGAGCTTTATCCCTAGCGGCGCTGGCATCTAGTAGGAGCTCAGCACATATTTGTTGAGTGAATAAATGAATGAATGTCAGGAACCCATCGAAATGCATGGCCAGACCGAAGACACACCACCATGCCATGCCTGAAAAGACGCGCCTGTCACTGGGCTGGGAGCCTGGGGAACATCTCCAGAACTTTCCAAATCCCGGGCCTTGCTCCCTCATCCCATCCTTACCTCCTACCCATTGCCCACTGCAATTGGAAGAGGGGATCTCCAGCCCTGATGAGAAAGGGCTTTTACTTCTTAATTCTTCTGAGGCCCTGCAGATACGAGAAGGACTCGGGGGAAAGGAAAGTCACTGAGACGGGGAGGGCGAGGCTGCAAGAATCCAAGGGAAGGTCCTGAACCTGCGCCGCTCTCTTCAGCTTCCAGAGACCCTTCCTGGAGGAGGCGCGGGTAGCAGCGGCGCCCGTCTCAGGGAGAAGAGGAGGTGAGCGCCCACGCTGTCCTTCACTCTGTTTCCTGACCTGTAGGGGCTGAGAGGTAAAGAGGTGCCCGGTTGTCCTTAGACTACCGCACCTCCGTCCCCTCCACTCAGCCACTAAGCAGCAGGCAGGCGCCCAGGCACCGCCCGCGCTGCGCGGGTCCAGAGCCTTTCCCGCCAGCCGGGGCCGCCTCCGCCGCGCTCACCTGCAGCTCTTAGGGGCGCCCGCCAGAGTGCGCTGTTGGACCGGGCAGAGCCGCGCTGAGGGGAGGAAGAGCGGCGAGGGCGGCAGCGCCGACTGGAGGCCTCGGGACGGGCGGGGAGGACGCGGAGGACGCAGGCTGGAGCGTGGGAGACCTTCGGGAGTTCCTGCGTCCTCGGAGAGGCGCGGCGCGCCCCGGCCGGGTCTCGGGGGTGCGGGGACGGCAGCCTCCGCCCCCTCAGGTCTGGAATCCCGCGGGACGGGGACGCGGCGGCGGCGGCGCGGGCTCGGCAGAGGCGCCAGGGGGCGCTAGTCGCTCCTTGCCGCCCATCTGGGCCGCGGCGGTTCCACCAGGTCCCGCGTCCGGCGCCCCGCGCCTCGCAGTTCTGGCCGGGCGCTCGGAGACGGTGCGGCGGAGACGACCCGTTCTTCCACTGCCCCCTCGGCCCGCGGGAAGTGGCGCCCGCCATCCGGTGCTGCTCCTCCGCGCCCTGCACCCCCAGCCGCAACCTCTCTGGGGCCAGACCGCCAGGCGCCCCCGTCCCTGGTACCCGCGCCGGGCCCCATGGCTCCTCCGCGACTCCCGCCAGGAATTCAGCTTCTGGGAAGGGTTTGGCCGCTTCTCAGACTGGAGAAGGCAGGCCCGAGCAGAGGCCCGAGTGATTTCCAGAAGCCTGGTGACTGGGCGTCGATGTTCGCCCTGGACTCGGTGACCCAATAATCCCAGAGCGGGAGGAGGGGCGAGGCTAGCGGCGGGGCGAGGAACCTGCAGGCACCGAGAAAAGATTCGCAGCCCCAAGCCAGCCTTTTAAAAGGACACTGGCTGTGGGAGCGCTACCTCGCTGAACCTCGACTTTCCCGGGGCGCGCAGCTCAGAGCTGAGCCCCTGGGGACTCCCGGGATCTGCGTCTCCCTGGGTCCTGAGGCAGGAGAGGAGGAGGCTGCAGGGGGGACTGAGCCTCCTCCCAGCCGAACCCTCGCACCCTGGGAGCCTGAGCCGGACTGAGTCTCCTCCCCCCAGCCACATCCTGGCACCCTGGGAGCCTGGAACTTGCATCTGAGGCCGGAGCGACTCTTGACTCTTTTCCAGTGAGCTGGGGGGAAAGTCACTGTCCTGAGGAGATCAGCCTTCAAGGGCGACGTGAGCGCGTTTGGCGCAGGAACTGGCCGGCCCTCCCTGTTGTGCTGTCCCCTGAAACTGATGGCCCCCCTTTCATTCCCCCAGCTCAGAAGAGGCTTGACCCTACTGGAAGCTTGAGGGCGCAGGCTGGGAGGAAAGAGAGGAACAGAAATCCAGGCGGTGGAGCAGCTGGAAAGCCGGAGAATTCGGTGGAAGGATGTTGCTGGCTGTTCTTTCCCCGCCCGCATTCCTGAGGCTGGGGCTGCAGCCCCCTCAAAACCTGCCCTGCAGGTCCAAGTAGTACCCAGCGGACAAACAGTAGAATTTGGGCAGGACCCCGGAGAGGCTTGCTGAGTGGGATAGAGCCCACAAGAATCATCCTAGGCTGCACCGCCCCCAGTCCCTCAAGACAGAGAGACACCCAAATAACCCATGTGTGCAGACCCGCAGCTTTCTGTGACTCCACCGTGGAGTCCAGAAGGCAGCTGAGGGTGGGAGCGGAGGGGACGGGAGGGGGACCGCCGGCGCCTGGGCGAGAGAGACGCGTCAATGGGCCGCAGGGGCCGGATCGGTGGCCTAATGGATTCAGGCCTGCAAGGCAGAGGCGCACCCGGCGGCCTGCCCGCGCTCTCAATAGCGGACAATGGAGTCCTGGGGTGACCTGAACAAAGAATTTGGAAGTAGTTAAACTGCAGAACACGTTCTGGGCCTGGGTGCCTCCTTTCAAAAGGAGCGCTGGGAGAAGAAAAGAAATCGCTGGGGGGCGAAGGGGGTGAGAAACTGCCTAGGGGAAAAGTTGGTGGGTCGCCCTAGTTGCCGCCAGCTACCAGACGCCAGGAATTCAATAGAAAATGGGGGAGGGGTGGCCCAAGTCTCCCAGACCGCAAGGAGAGTCAGAGAAAGTTCTCCAGGGATGGCTGGGGTTCTGGAGCAGGACTGAGCTTTCTCCCATCAACACACACGGTCAAGGGAGCAACCCCCCACCAACAGACACACAGTCAAGGCCAGGAGAAGCTTCCCTCGGACTTTGGGGCTAGAACAGGGACCAGTGAGTGGAGAGGGTGTCTGGGCCCCTGTGTCTAGACCTCCATGGACCGCTTCCCTCCTTCCCTCCTCTACCAGGACTCTATGGACAGGTCTCCCTCTTTGAGCCCTTTCACAGAGCTTGTTTTTGTTTTTCCTTCTCCATCCAGTTCAGAAGGACTGGGTTCTCTCCCTCCTTCCCTTCTTCACTCCCCACCCCACACAGCCAGCAATCTAGATTCTTCTATGAGAATATGTATTTTTTAAAGTCAGGCCTCTGGGTGTAAAATAGAGGGCCAATTATTATTTTATTTCTTTTTTCTGAATTTTCTAATTTTTTTTCACAATCAGCACAGCCAACAACATAGGAAAAGAAGACATTTGAAAAGCAATCAGTTATACTGGTATCAAACTAACTTAGAATAGGAGGAACTTGAAAGACTGTGGAAACCAAAAGTGTAAATAAAATGACGGAATAAATGGTTAGGAGACAAGTCAGAAAAGAAAGGAGCGGTGGCTGCCACGTTCCTGGGAGGCAGTGCCTCTGGAATCCGAGAGAACGCTCCCTGGCCAGGAGGCTTTCTCCTGTGGGAGGCGCTTGGCTTGCAAGGGGTTAACAGTATTGCTCATGAACTTGGCCTGTCTGTCTGGCTCGTGATGAATGGTGAGACTCGCTGACAAGTTCAGCCTAGGGACCTCCCCGCTGTGGAAGTGGAAGAAGCACACACAAGCGAAGGGGACCCGGGGGGAGCCACCAGGGCGCGTGGTTCGGAGTGCCAGGCACACTTTCTGCCTGCTCTCTTGGCTCCTGTCTCCCTTCGGCCGATCACCTGCTCTCCTGAAGCTTTCCAACGTCATCCTGGAGCCCCAGAGTTTCCTGAGGCCTCCGCGTTGTGCGTCCCAGGACCCCTTGCCCGCCCCTGCGGGAAACACGGAGCTGTAGGCAGCAGGACGTCCGGAGCCGGCCCAGGGGAGGCCAGATTCAGCATTTGGACAGCGGCTCCGGGGCGCCGTCGGCCCAGCGAGTTTGCAGGTGCACAGCCTCTGGCAGATGGCGCGTGGGGGGCCGTGGGGCTGCCCTGGGTCTTGGAGAAGCAGGTCCCTGCGTGGAGGGCATCCCCAGCTCCAAATGGGACACGTTTCCCCGGGCTAAATGATCCCTTTTGAGCTCACACGGGTACCCAGGGACCAGCCAATCCAGCGTGGCTATCCCCAGCCTAACCAACACCTGTGCTTGGGGTGAAGATAAAACGCCCCCTTTCAGCCCAGAGGTGGATGCCCCTCATGCCCCAGCTTCCATTCTTCCCAAAGCAGCCCAGATCTCTGAGTCTGGAGCCGCCGGAGAGGCTTCCAACCCGCTGCTTGCCACCACCTCCCAGGTCGTTGGTGGCTCCGGGTGAGTCTGGCGGCGCGGGGAGAACAGGGGGGACAAATGGCGTTGCGACTCCCCGGGAAAAGCTAGGAGGCAAGCGGTGCGTGGGGAGGAAAGGCCAGGGCACACGGCTGGGTGCCCCTCGCAGCCTGCCTCCGCCCCCTCCATTCCTCACTGGTCGGGGTGAACGGAGGGGGGGGCGGGGGGAGCCGCGCTGACGTCACTGCGGGCCGTGCCCGCCCGAGAAGGCGGCGCTGGGAGCCGCTCAGAGCCCAGAGAAGCCGCGCGCCGCCAGGAGCCCCCGCGCCGCCACTGCCGTGCCCGCCTCCCGCAGCTCGCTGCCATGCGCTCGCCGGGGCAGGGTCTCCCGGAGAGCGGCGAGAGCTGGGCCTGAGCCCAGGAACGCGCCTGATCCGGAGCGGCAGAGCCGCGGTGCCCGCAGCCGCCCTACCCGCCCCACTGCCTCGCTGGGGCCCGGGCCCCCTTCCCGGTCCGTAAGTGCCACTGCCCGCTGTGTCTCGGCGAGGCTGGGAAGCGAGGGCTGGGGATGAGGGCGGTGGCCTTGGCCAGGGCAGCGTCAGGAAGCTGGGCTGGACTGAGAGAGGGGGCTGGGACATCCCTGCCTGGTCCCCTTGGGCAGCTCAGGCGGCTGGGGCTTCCCTTTGCCGCTGGGGGTGTGATGAAGGGCGCGCTCCGACTGTGTGTGGGAGGCGGGACTCAGTCATCGGGGCAGAGGGTTATGGGGCAGCGGAGAGCGCCCAGAGGTGAGGACTTTGGGTGAGCAGAAAGGGGAAGGGCGCCAGGTCGGATGGAAGTTGTGTGGCTGCAGACATGGTTAGCAGGAAGAAAGGAATGCTTCTGAAGTGAGGTTCTGCTGAGTCCCAGAATCGCCCTCTCCCTAGCCACTGCCCCCTACTCCCTTCTTATCCCCTCCCCCACAAAAAATAATAACCTAGAAAGCAGCTTCCTGAAAAAAATATTTTCAGAAAACGCACCACACAGCACCCACTCTAGACAAGATTTTTGACATGTTTTCCCCCCTCTGAAATGGGAAGTTGTTGGGAAATCCTGTCCGCTCTGCTCCCCACTTCGTACCCTAGAACAGGTCTCTCTGATCTGCCCGTGGGCGTCTCTGCAGCCACCTCTAGCCTAGGCTCCACTGAGCTGGGGAAGAATAAGGGCATTGGTGGAGGTTGAGCCAAGTGAGGGGCTTCTTTGGGAACAGGGTTGGTGGGGAAGCTGGTCCCGTTTGGACCCATCAGAGCAGGGAGGTAACAGAAGGTGGGAGACATTCCAGGGCGAGATCACAGAAGCAGTATTGGAGTCCAGAAAAACACACTGAGTCTTTGTGGCTGGGGATAAATTGAGGTGCTGGGCCTAAAGGGACCCCTCTTTTAAGCCTGCATATCCTGGAGGAGGGCGATTCTTAGGCCACGGAGGGGAAGAGGATGGAGTTTTAGGGTCTACCTTTCAATCAAGGAACAGAGGCCCGAAGGTAGGCTAAGTAGGCACTGAGATGGGGGCATCATACAGGGTCCACCTCAGGACTTCCATTAGTAGTATCTGCTGCTGGAGACCCCAGGGAAGGGGTAGTGCTCTGTCCAGGCCTTTTCAGGAGGGGTGTTTTCAGGTTCCTGCCCAGCTTAGGCCTCCCCAGAGCCGACACCTCAGCTGCTGAGGAGAGAGGCTGGATGTGGGAGCCAGAGAGAGCATTACCCTCAACTGACCAGGTGTAAATGAAGGCGAGTGTGCAGGCTCTGGGACCCCCTGGGTGCAGGGAGCTGGGGCCATCTGAGCTGGCCTAATGCTGGGTCTCTTAGCTAGCAGTCCTGCCAGCCTCCAGACAATAGGGAGATCAGCTTAATCAAAGCTCGGACCTGAGGAAGGAAGGAGGGAGGGAGGGAGGGGCAGTGGGGTGAGGGCACCCTGGACTTAGCCTAGATTGTGGCTGGAGACACTGTCTCCTAATTAAGAACCAGTGAGGCTCAGGAAAGGAGCACTAGCTCCAGGCTGAATCACAGGCTGGGTGGCTGTGTCTGCCTGGAGTAGTGCCTGCGGAGTTCCATTGGCCTCTGGCTCCCAGCCTCTATATCAGGGCAAATCTGGTCTTAGTTGAAGGGAGGCTGCACAGGACTGTTGGCTAGGGTCAGAACTGTCCCCCTCTCCTGCCAGTTAATACCTTAATTTACTATGTCCTGAAATAGAAGGTGCACTCCTGTGGATTGTCAGGTCCCCTTTACTGAGTTGTGTAACTACCAGTAGGAACTTGGGCCAAAGCCAGCTTGGAGTCCAAGCAGCTGCCACTGCCGATGGGTACAAGAGTGTACATGGGTACGTGCATGGGCAAGGTACCAGCCACCTGCGTCAGGCTGGCTGCTAGATGGGTGTATGGGCCAAGTGTGTGAGGGGGTGTTGTGCAGATTTGCTGAGTCGAGGGAGTGCAGAGCATGCCTGTGGTTGCAGCAGGGACGGGTATTTCTCTTGATCTGGATATGGGAGTTTCATGGCCAGGAGCTCTCTTTCCTCAGTAGAGGTTTGAATATGAAAAATGGAGTCTCAGGCCCTCAGTGAAGGTACCTAGTTGCTGAGGCTCTGTCTTTCTCTGGTTGTTAGTTTCTCCTGGTAGCTGCGGGTGCCTGTGGAGCCTGGGTTCAGGACTGAGGGGAGGAGGTGGAAGAAGTTCAGGGAAAGTGGGGAGGTGGAGAGACAGGCCTGGCAGGCAGCTCTCAGCACCGTGGCCAGCCCGACTGCTCCCACCAGTGCTTTAGCCTGGGTGCCCAGTGGCCGGCCAGACCCAGTACCTGATCTTCTGCAACTTCAGGGACTGTGCTGTGGCTGAAGGCCAAAGCCAGGGGCTTGGCGTGGGGAAAGTTCATGGAACCCAGACCCGGCCTGAATTGCAGGCAAGGGGGCAATCTGGGTCAACGCTGGTGGCTGGTCAGATTCTCCCCACTTGGTCTGTGAGTTGGCCTGCCCAGCAGTCTGCCAGCCTCAGCTGGCAGTGCCCAGCCCACACAATGCGCTTCTGCCTGGTGTCGACCTGGATGGCTTCCCCAGCTCCTGTGAAGCTGTGCGTGGAAGCTGGCTGCCAACCCACGGAGACTGCAGCTGCCTTGACCCACTGGAACAGCCTCCTCCTCCCAGCAGCCTATGGCCTTGAGGCTCCGTGTCTCTGTGGCCTTCCTCCTGGGAGTGGGGCTACAGTGAGGTGGAGGAGGCACTGATTTGGGGCAGGTCCCACTCAGGCAGGGTGTGGGAGCCTCCCTGTGGCCAGCCTCACCTGCTCCCAACAAGGGACTCGATTTCCCAAAAAGACAGCGGAGATGTGGCTCTGGTGATAGTGGCCTCCTGCATCTGAGCTGAATCAAAAGCAGGCTTTTAATTTTTTCTCCCAAAGCCCCCACCCGCTCTAGGCTTGCAGGCCGGCCTCCGCGCAGTTACCGTGAGTCTCGCTGAGGAGCCATTTTGTGCAGCATCCTGCTTAAATCACACTCTGAGGGGCTTGTTCCTCGCTCTCTCTTCCCCCTCGTTTCCTCTCTTTCTTCCCTCTCTCTCAGGTAAACCAGGCTTCTGGGCCCCTCCCTGCCTCCACAACCCCACCCTTCCCACCCCTGGGTGGCCCGAAAGGGCTAGGGCTCAGAAGGCCGCCCACACACACATCAAGAAGGGAAGAGGGTGCAGGTTCCTGGAGCTGCAGGAGGAGGGAAAGCAAGGGGCGCCTCCCAATTATGGAAATCCTTGGAATTAACTGTCTCGGGCCCATATTCAGGGCTTCCTTCCTGAACCATGGCTGGCCTCTCTGTTCCCCTGCTGGTTTAGCATCCAGGACCTGGTTCACCTTCTGGAAAAAGGAATGTGTCTGCGAAGTGGGATTTTGAGGGAGACATGTAAATGCCAGGTTTGGTTGATCACAAGCTGGCTGGGATGGGAGCAGGATGTCACCTGCCTCAGATTGAGAGTTGGGATGAAATTAGAACAAACCACAGACAAGCTAGTGGGGAAAGAGGCACTTGCCAAAATCCGGAACTGGACAAAATCCACTTGTCATTTTTAGGGGAGAATATGGAAGGAATGGATTTTTAGTAAAATCATGAAATCTTTTTTCAAACCATCCACTTTTAGCCTCTTGTTTCCAACCCATCCTGCAAGGGTTTTACCTGGCCCAGAGTGGCCTAGTGTCCCAGACCTCAGTAAAATGTATCTGCATGGGTACCTTCACCTTACCCATGATGCTTGCTGTAGACAGCAGCAGCGAGTCTCTGTGACTCCTGTGTATTGACCGCTGGAAACAGGGGATCCGCTTGCCTAGTCCAACATCAAATCTCTCCCTAGCTGTTGAACTTAAGATTTTTCTGGGGGCATTTTCATATTTAATCCTTTGCCTCTTGGGGATGGCTGACAGGTGGAGGTGAATCATAGGGTCCAAGGCAGGAGGGTAGCCACAGCAGCAAGGAAGAAGGGAGTGATGGCTGAGATGAGCATGCAGCAGTACGTATAGGCCACTCACATCTGGAAGGCTGCAATGGTACCACCAGTTCAGCTGCCAGGCTCAGTTTAGGGGTAATTCTGGGAGATCCAAGGTGGCAGTCCCTGTCCACTATTGTGGCTACTTGGAATGAGTAGGCCAGGTGTGTGCAGAGAGCTGGAGAAGGAGAGTGGAG